GCCACGCTCACCCGAGTAAGATTTGCCTCTCGCACAAGTGGTCCGCTCCGCTCCGCTCCGCTCCGCTCCTTCTCCGTCTCCGCAGGTCGCCTGGATGTCGGCCCTCGGCGGCCCGCGAACACCTCTGTGCAGGGGCTGCCGGGCGACAGAACACGACAGCAGCGCCGTCGGCCCCCGCGCGGACCTCGGCCCCGACGGGCCGGCGTCGCGACAGGAATCGCGACGGGACGTGCTCGGCCGTTTGCGGCCTCAGGGTGCCCTCGCCGGGCCCCAGGATCGTCACCAGAGGCCTCCCGACTCGAGGGTCCGAGTAGATGGGGTCGGAGCATCGCGCCGCATCGCCGACGCACCGCCGATGCATCGGCGATGCGCCAGCGACGTCGCCGATGCATCGGCGATCCGATGTGTCTGGGCGGCCTGAGCTCTCCTCCTCCTGCCTTGACAGTGAGAGCCCGCACCGGGGATCCGACGCCGCGAACAGTATCGCAGTGACGCCAAGAGTCACGGCGGGAGCTCTGGGCCACGCTCACGCTTCCGTGGCATCTCTCGACCTGCATCGATGCGTGAGGGTCAGAGACCCAGAACGGGCAGGAAAATCCCGCCGGTTTTCCTCAGCCCCCCTGTGTGTCGGGCGCCCTGGGGCTCGCGAAAGTGGCGGAAGCCGCACAGCTGCTCCCCTCCCAGGGAGTGCGAAGAGGAGGAAGAGAACGAGGAAGACGAGGACGAGCACGAGGAGGAGGGAGCGCAGGAGGATGTGGAGGATGAGGACGAGGACGAGGAGGAGGAGCAGGAGCAGGAGGAGGAGGAGGAGGAGGAGGAGGAGGGAGGAGGAGGAGAGAGGAGGGAGGACGGCAGGGACGGAGGGAGGAGAGGATGGAGGAGGAGGGAGGCAGAGGAGGAGGAGGAGTGGGGAGGGAAAGGAGGGGAGGAGGGGGAGGAGAGGGAAGGAGGAGGAGGAGGGAGGAGGAGGGAGGAGGTACGAGGAGAAAGGAGCGAGAAGGAGGGAAAGGACGAGAGGGAGGAAGGAGGGGGAGGAGGAGGAGGCAGCAGGACGGAGGGGAGGAGGAGGAGGAGGAGGGGAGGAGGAGGAGGAGGAGAGGAAGAGGAAGGAGAGCAGAGAGGGGGAGGAGGAGGAGGAGAAGGAGGGAGGAGGCAGGAGGAGGAGGAGGGAGGAGGAGGAGGAGAAGGGGGGGAGGAGGAGGAGGAGGAGGAGGAGAATGAGCCCCCCAAAGGCCCAAACCGAGGACAGCCGCCCGAGCTTGAAGCACAAGCGGGGGGTCGGTGGGCCCCGGCCGTCGCGCGATCTGCCAAGGCCCCGGCGTCTTCCAGATCCTTGTCCTTTTCGGCCGCGACCGCCGTGTTCATGAGCTCGTCGTCGGTCTTCTGCGTCAGGGCGCTCTGCTCGTACATCCAGTCCAGCCTCTCCACCTCAGGAGCACGAGGGGGGAGCAAGGGGGAGAAGGAAGCGGCGAGCCAGTGAACAGTACGAAGAAGATGAGGGGTGGACGATGAGGTGCAGGCGGAGGAAGGAGGACGGAGAGGTGGACGTGGGGGAGGTGTATGGAGATGGAGGACGGGGGAGGAGGGAGGAAGGAGGATGGTGGGAGGGGGAGGAGAGGGGAGAAGGAGGAGGAGGAGGATTAGGAGGAGAAGGGAGGAGGAGGAGGAGAGGAGGAGGAGGGATGGGAAGAAGAGGAGCGCATGGAGGAGGGAGGAGGCAGGAGGAGGAGGAGGAGGAGGAGGAGGAGGCGAAGAGAAGGGAAGCTCGGCTCGGTAAGCCTACACGGTTGCGGCAGTCGTGTGTGTGTGTGTGTGTGTCTATGTGCGTTGAGGAGGAGGAAGAGGCGGAGGGATGATCAGGGAGGACTTTGGAGGGGCATTCAGAATACTGAAGATGAGGAGGATGAGGAGGAGGAGGAGGAGGAGGAAGAGGAGGAGGAGGAGGATGATGCTGATGCTGATGCTGATGCTGCTGCTGATGATGATGATGAGGAGGAATACAAAGAAGAGGAGGAGGAGGAGGTGGAGGAGGAGGAAGAATAGAAGGAGGAAGAGGCGAATGAGGAACTGATCTTGATCCTTTTCCCATCCCAGAACGGTCGGTCGACGGATCGGTGCCCGTCGCCGATCGGCCTCGGTCGGTCGACGGATCAGCATTCCGGCAACCATCTCTTGTGCTCCTGCCCCCTCCTCCTGTTTCCTCCTCCGCCCTCCTCCTTTCACTTTCGTAGGTCGTCCCGTGTTCTCCGTGGGAGGAGGAGGAGGAGGAGGAGGAGGAGGAGGAGGAGGAGGAGGAGGAGGAGGACGAGGAGGAGGAGGAGGAGGAGGAGGAGAAGGAGGACAAAGAGGACTGAGGAGGAGGACGAGGAAGAGGAGAAAAACGATCGAGAGGAAGAAAAGGAGGATGTCGACGAAGACAACAAGAAGGATGAGGAGGGCCATAAGGATGGGACGAAGACAACATAAGGATGAGAAGGGCAGGGAAGGGGAGGAGGAGGAAGACGAGGATGACAAGAAGAAGTGATCAGGGAAAGCAGGACGAGGAGGATGAGATGGACGACAAGACCAGGACAAGGAGGAGGAGGGAGGAGGGAGGAGGGAGATACGCGACGGCGTGGACGTTAGGGGGAGGAGCAAGGAGAAGGAGGAGGAGGAGGAGGAGGAGGAGGAGCGAGGAGGAGGATAGGAGGAGCACGAGGGAGAGAGGAAGGAGGAGGAGGAGGAAGGAGGACAAAAGAGGACGAGGAGGGAGGACAGAGGGAAGAGGAGAAAAACGATTCGAGAGGAAGCAAAAGGAGGATGTCGACGGAGACACAAGAAGGCATGAGGAGGGCGCATAAAGGGAGGGGACGAGGGACAAACATAAGGATGAGAAGGGCAGGGAAAAGGGTGCGGAGGGGGAGGAAAGGGACGAGGATTGACAAAGAAAGCATAGTGAGTCCAGGGAAAGCGAGGCCGAGGAGGGGTGAGGGATGAGAGGACAAGACCGAGGACAAGGAGGAGGAGAGGGAGGAGGGAGGACGGGAGATAGCGAGGGGTGGGAGGTGGCGAGGAGAAGAGAGAAGGAGGAGAGGAGGAGGAGGGGCAGGAGGAGCGAGGAAGGAGGAGGAGGAGGGACGAGGAGGAGGGGAGAGGAAGGAGGAGGAGGAGGAGGAGGATGAGGGATGATGAGGGATGATGAGGACGGAGGAGGAGGAGAGAGGAGGGGGGGATAAGGGAGAGGGGCGAGAAGCGAGAAGGAGGAGGAGGGGAGGGAGGAGGGGAGGGAGGAGGGAGGGATGGAGGGAGGAGGGAGGAGAAGGACGCGGGAGGAGGAAGAGGAGGAGGAGGAGGAGGAGGAGGAGGAGGAGGAGGAGGAGGCGTGCCGATTTCGATCGGTCGGTGGGCCCGGGTAGCGTCGGAAGGATCGCGGCGCCCCGAGCCCTCCCGCCTTGGGCCTGTCCATGATCCCCGCGGCGGCCTGCAGCTTGGAGAGCGCCTCACCGTGAGGCTGCGCGGGGAGGGGTACGACGACGACGTCAGCGATGTTCTCCTCCTCGTTGTCGTGGACCTCCTCCTCCTCCTTCTCCTCCTTCTCCTCCTCCTCCTCGTCCACCTCCTCCTCCTCCTCCTCCTTGGGGCTGCTTGGGGACGGCGACGGCGGCAACGACTTTCACCTTTTTATTGCACCGTGGGGCGAACTTGAGCGTCTCGGCTGTAGCGTTCTACGACGTTCACCTCCTCCTGCTCCTCCTCCTCCGTCTCCTCCTTCCGCCACTCGGAAATGGAACATCGACTGTTGCCCCCCCCACACTAAGCACTTTCACGCCGAGGCTGGAGCCTCCATTCACCAAGTAACGCCCCCACCACGGATGTGGAGACCCGCCTATGCCCTAACTGACAGCCGTGACAAGCCTCCTCCTCCTTCCCGGGGGCTGCCCTGTGACGGCGACGACGGCGGCGACGGCGACAACGATCATCTCTCCTCCGCACTCCTGAAATTCCCAAGGAGATCCCAGAGGAGGCCTCCGAAGGCATCCAGAAGCGCTAGAAAGGGTCAAGATGGCTCACGAATTGGCGGTTGAAGAGCGGTATAATATATTTTCCCTGCAATCGGGTACGCCTGTCTCGGGGAGGATGGAACGTTTCTCCTCCTACACAGGCACGCGGGGGTATCAATGTTCAGCCCACCCTGCGACACGCGTCCCCGATTGCGGGGCAAATTCAGCTGGCACCGTTCTTCGCCCGCTGCAGAAGACATTCGGCCCCCCCCCCTCTCTGGGACCCCTGGACGGTGTCCCGAAACGAAAGCCCCCCCGTCTCTGGCGGTCCCCTGGAAGGTGATCCCCCGACGTTCCCTCCTGGAGGCCGGATGATGTCCCGTGGAAGGTCTCCTGGCAGGTCCCTGGAGCCCCCCCCCCCCTGAAGGCCTCAATTGGCCACCAGGAGGACACAATATGGCCCAAGACTGGAAAGCAGAACATCCACCCTCATACTTATCACCCCGACAAGCGGAGCCGTGTCGTAAACGCGCCCAAGGAGAAAACCGAACAAGGCGAGGCTGTTCCGTAAACGCCCAGG